AATAAGTTTTACATCGAACAATTTTTTTTTTTTAAGTGAGAACTTCTGTTTATACTTTTTTTATGGGGAGTGAATTAGATTGAACCGTCAGATTTCCGATGTGTAACTCTCGGAAAAGTCGGTTGGAATCGATTAATTGAAGTGTTTTTGCATATGAATAAAAATATCTCAAAAACTGAAAATCGAACATGTATATTGTTAGTGAGGTGAATGTTCACCATTTCATACCCTTTTTAATGAGCTATTATTATAATTTTATCTTATCGCGACGGCGTGTTAGAGAGGGAAAAATAGAAAACATTTTGTCGAAAACCAAAGTTTTATTGAATATCTGGATAAAAATATCTCAGAAACTAAAATTCGGACCTGGATACTGTAAGCGAATTTATAATTTATATTATCAATCTTACCTTATTGATGTTTTCACTTCACTCGTGTGGTCTAAAGCGCACACCTTAGTTTTTTTTTTAAATTCAAGCACAAGAAAATAATGATTTTTTTTCTTTCAATATTTGTTTCTCCACTCAAACATGTCAGTAATACTGACAACTAGTATACTTTCGAGAAGTTGAATAGTGTAAAAAGACATTGATAGCCGTGAGGGATAGGAGTGCCAAGCGGCATCCCTTCCTATCTCAAATTTAGTATTTATAAGCTAAGCGAGGAGATCTTTCATGCAGCTTCTTTTGACCTCATACGATTTTTATTACGAATACAATTGCGGTCATACCATGTATGAGTGTACTAATATGTGCGTGTAAGTTATCGTAAAATCTTTTGTAACTTGTTCGTATGTGGTCGTAAAGTGTTAAAATGTGAAGGTCTTTATAAGAAGTAATGTTTGGGACGTATAATGGAACTTTAGTTGTAGTTCTAAAAGCTTTTGACATGTCAGTCTTAATTATTGCAATTTACCTGTTGGAGGAATGTCGATTTCATATCGAAGAGAGAAAGTAATGTATTCGTTTTGTCTTTAAGAAAAAATTAACACATAAAAAGAGTGGATTCGCCTAAAAAAAAAACTATACATAAATTTTGTTGTAACCCTAGCCGAATAAAAATTATTTACAATATGGCCGATTTTAAAAAAAACTTTTTTATCATTTCGTCGAGAATTTCTTCATTTCTGTTATAATTACTTTTAATTTAATATTCGCCCCGAAAAAAATGTTATGAAATAAGAAATTCGCTCCTACAAATAATTTTGAATAATACTAGTTTTGATAAAAAAAAGAGGGATGGAACAAGTTATCCCTACCTGGCCGGTTATCGACAACTCATCTGCGTGGAGGGGGGAGGTATTTTTTTTTTTAAGGCCGACTGGCTATTAGGGGCAAATCAACAAACATGAAAAAATATGAAATCGTTTTCCCCTAACGGCAAGGGATGATTATAATTTATTCCGGTCTAGCAAACCTAAATACAAAACGAGATGTGATTTTTACATCAAAGATAGAACTTTCCAAAATACCAAGGAGAGACAATGATAATTCAATATAATTATTATTATTTTTAAACCATTCTATAAAATTTAAATTAAGGAAACGTGGTAGAATGTATCATGTGCCGAACTTGATTTCTTTCTTTTTTTTTGGTAAGTATATTACTGGAAGAAAAGAAAAAGTAGAACTATTCATTGCACCTGATTTTAAATTTGATGACCAGGATATGGTTTTTAATTAGTAGATGATTTTACTTTGATCAAGCTCAAGAGCCTCGTTTTCCCTCTTAACTAAATATTTAATTATGAGTTTCTACTTTAGGTTAAGGAGGGCTATCCGCCAGGCTAGAAATAAGACTGAAGAAACTCATGAACTGTTTCATAAAATACATCTTCGGGATCCCCAGGCGTTCGCATGTTTCACTCTGGTACACCGAGTTGAAGTGGCTTTATCCTACTTCCCGACGACAATTCCTCCTTGGTGTTTTCCTTTTCTTAGTCCTCAAAACCCAAAAACCGTCCCCACATCCTGGAACTCCTTACTCTACGCTCCACTCTCTTAATACCAGATCACAACCTATAGATTTATGTATTTCCTCCCATAAAACTACTTCCTTCACCAAATACTTCATCATTCGTGCTACCATCTTTTGGTGCTCACTTCCTACCTCCATACGTCAATCCTCGTCCACAAATTCCTTCAAACAATTCCTGTTCCAACACCTACTCCACATTCAAGCTTACGGTAACATGTAAAATTACTTATAACTGTATATTATTTCATTTCAATCTACTGCACAATTGCAATAAAAATAAGCAGTTAGTTACTTTTTAATATTTTAAGCCAGAATAATACCCATAAATTTGTAACACTGTTATTATCCTTAGGAGACTGTAGTCCAAGAATAAAATTATTTTCCCATTCATTCATTAACTTTATTGTGTATCAGAGGATCTATCCATGTTTGATGTAAAGGAATAAATAAGAAACTATCTGCCATGGCCGAAGTATAATTCAGGACTTTTATAGTGCACAGTGCCTTACTCACTCAGGTACGAGTGTTTGCTTCTTTTAACAAACTAGTATTAAGAACAATCAATCTAATTTCTGTTGTTTTGACACTTTCCTTATTTATTATCATTATTCACAGGAGACTAACCAAATGGAACGGGAAAAATGTACTTTTCTTCTCACACTTCAATTCAAAATTCTTTTTTTGTTTTTAATATAAAAAGCCTACACAATATAATGCAACGACCCTAAGAACAGTAATTATTTATATCAATGTCAGTATATCAATCTAAAAAAAAACCGAAGGCAATTACGCTGAAACAGGGACAAACTTTTAAGCTTATTGGAGTTGACTTGAGATGCGAACGTTGACTTTTCGAGATCAGGCTGAGAAAGAAATTAGTTTATTAATAATTAATCTATTTTTTTTTCTTCCTTTAACTTGACATTCAATACAAAACTTTATCGATCTTTAAACATTATCTTTACAATACATAAAAAAATAAAAAAATACTCTTCTTTTTAAATAAAAAGCCTTAAGCTTGACGAATTCCAAGATATAAATGAAGGAACAATGTATTTTCTCAGTTCTTTTATCATTTCTTGAATTATGTAACGCTGAATAGTTCGTTATTTACATCTAAGTATTTCAAGGCTTTGTTTACAAACTTATCAAATAATATAATACATATAAGTCGATTGATGGTTAACTGTAATGAATAATTGGAGAGAAAGTTGGTTGGGTGTTCAGTAAAAAAATAAAAAATAAAAATAAATAAATGATAATTATTTTTAACACCCCATCCAACTTCTCTTCTTTATAGTTTTAGTAACTTTTCTGTTATTATCACTATAAATAAAACACTATGACAGTTATTAGCGCAAAATAGTTACACTTTAATTGCATAGATAATCCGATATTGTGGGCAGAACTAACAAAGGTATGCTGGGGGTATATTAATGTATTACTAATTGGTCTGGCGGCGCCACGATATCTATAATGGCAAAAATCCAAGTTGTCATATTAAAATAGGCCAGGCACAAACATTCCATTTATTTTTAACAAGGTCTCAGGAACTCAGGTATTTCTACTCTGTTGAGTAAGGCTGATATCCGTCCTCGTCTTAAGTTGCTTAGTATTAAAAGAGAATTTGTACTGCGTGTTTGAACAGTTTGTTGTTGTTCAGGGCTTAGAGGCGTAATACACCGACGTCATCAACGCCTATCCAATCATTACTTCAATTATCTCAATGATAAATTAATTTTAGAAAAAAAAACATTCAGTTTATCAAACTTCAAGAAAAATAAACAACGACCTAACTTTAACTTCGTCATTATTTAAAATATCTGATAGCTTTGGCTTGAGCCCTAATTTGGTTACAATTGATATGTAGTAGAAACATTCTTGAAAAATATGGCTGAATTTAGCAATGTTGGCATTTTACTTATAAGGTAACAATGTGTTAGATTTGTATGACCTACCCTTAATCTAGTTAAGGCAACTTCCTCTCTACGAATAGGGTGGTTCGAGGTGGACCATGATTTCACCGATTGTTTTACTTACTCGAAGGACTTTCGTACCACATGGATTGCCAGCTAAGAGCTATTATCTTTTTGAGGGGAAGACTTGTGACACGTGGTGTTAAAATAGCAGCAATATGGCCTGGAAGGATGAGGTGTTAGAACATTGCTACTTCAACATTAAACTTTCTAGTAACCTTCAGAGACTATCCAAAGCAAAATCTATTAAACCTTCGTAGAGACTTTACCTAAATAACTCCTGCAATAACCATATTTCTCAGATTAACCGAAAATTCATAACTGTGTTTAAACAACTCCTAGGTTTCCATGATCATATTCCTCTAAAAACCAAACAGCTCTTTGTGACCTCGCTTGTTTGACGTTTGAGTTCCATGACAGTGTATCGAGAGCTGTCTGAATAGACTCATGGACGGTTTTAAAAGATACGTTCCAGACGTTCTCACGTTTCCTGGTAGTACACCGAGTTTAAGTGGATCTATTCTACGTTCAGTAATTGCTTATTGGTGTTTTCCTTTTCCAAGCCCGAACCAAAAATCCTCCCTACAACCTTTAAATCCTCACTCTACGTTCTACTCTATCAATACCAGATCTCAACACATAGATCTATCGTAATACGTGCTACATTCTTTTGGAACTCCTTACCTATCTCCAAACGTCAGACCACGTCCACAAATTCCTACAAACAACTAATGTTTCACCATTTACTTCAATTCAAACTTCCGCAAACATGTAATAATTGATAAGAGCCACTTTATTACTTTTTTTTCGTATTTTAATATATTTGTATTATTTCTACTTGCTAAACCGTACATATTTCTAGAATGCTGTGATTCTTAGGTGTTTTTAGTCTCAGAATAAAAATATTTTTCGTTTCATTTCATTAAAAAAAAAAAAAAAGAAAATATGAACCAAGCTGGTAGGTTTCCAAACATTTTTAATGAAACGCATAGCAGTGAGCTTTTGTAAGCAATAATTAATGACCAGGGATTGCTAAGACCCTTAGCCATGGAAAGAAAGGCGGCAGTAGTCGAAGGGGGCTTTGCAGGAGCGTACTTATGGCGGCAGGTAAACATGTGTGTACGAGGTTAAGTACAGGCACATAATAGCTTTAGCACGGGAGAGCAGGTTCAAAGCTCTCTAAGAACTTTATTAAAGGTGCTTCCCTCCCTGTTTTCGGTTCAGGCATCCTTTCACGGACTTATACTTAGGGGATGTCCTAGGCTTATTTCCGTCGGGGAGGATTCTTTAAGAAAAACCTCGCCCGTTAGGAGACGTCGAAGATCCTACTTAGAAAGCAAGAAAAATAAAAAAAAAAATACAAGAAGTTTTTCACGTCTAAGGATTATAATAAATACAGTATCGTGTATAAAAATTGGATGAGACAAATCATAATCAAATTTTACCCAATTAAACAAATCTTTATTTAGAAAAACTGATTAATTTACTTTAATATATTTAATGATTGGTGGTAAGTTTTCTACATTTGCCAGGGATTTCCCAAAATTCAAGAAGAAAAATTATCAATAATAGTGGTATTATGGTTGAATGTAGTGAATAATTGAAGAAAAGTTGGTTGTCTGTAAAAAATAATTGTCAAAAAACTGGTCAAAAATAAACCAATTAAAAATAAATAAATGATATTTATTTTTATATTTGCTGACGTTTCAGCCCCAAAACGTTCAGGCCTTCATGAGAGCTAAGGAAAGACCAGATAACAATATCAGAAACTATTATGAACTAATGAAAAAAAATATTAATAATAAAATTTGTAAGGAACATACAAAAATAATAATAACAGTAAAAGAGAGGAACTTATAATAACTAACAAAAATATTAGAGAGCAACTAATAACAGTAATAGAGAGGAATTGTTAATATTTGAACTATAACTTCCTCCTTCTCTATTTCTTTTTCTTTTTTTTTTTTTTTTTTTTGTGTGTGTGTGTGTGTGTGTATATATATATATATATATAAAGTTTCCTTTTTGTTTGTCATGAAATAATTCCTCTGTAATTATATCATATTGTTCTTAACTGTGACAGAATCGACGTTACGGTGGAATGAAAATACGCCAGGAATGTTCTATAGTGAAACGACAGCTGTTGGACGTACTCTTGGGGCATTGTCTGGCGTTGAGGGGGTACCAATTCGATTTGAGATTCGATTGGGGAGGAGGCATTTGCGAGTTACTGAATTTAGTGCTTTTTATCATAACATCAACTCTATTTCCTCATCTATTTTAGAAATACTTGTCCCATTGTAAGGGGACAAGTCATTCTTGTTACGAATGAATTGACATAGTCGGTTGCAAAGATTGGCATTTTGTAGATAAAATTCAATTCTACTTAGTTTTTCATGGTTTTTATGACAATATTTTTCATTTTTTTTTTAAATTGAAGGAGAAGTAATGGGTTATCGTTGGATTTTCAAGAGAATAGATCAAAATAATTATCGTTATAGTTTGTTTCATCTTATTTCCTCTCCACGCAAGTTAGTTTTTTTTTTTGTTTTTTTTTGGCAAAACGTAAGGATCATGATCTTACAAGGTTCAAGAAATCTTATGAATGCTTATAACGAGAAAACTTCTTACTTTTTTATTTCGATATGAAAATAAATTAAATATTGTGTATTCGTTTATTTTCTTATTTTTGTACGAATATTCTCATAAGAGTTCAAATTAATTTGTCCGGATCGATTGAATACAAAGGGGTAACATTTTTACAATGCAAGCAGATAGTCATCCCCAGATATCTACGTTGTTTAAGAATGTAAATTTTTACAAGAAATTATAATTTATTTTATTACTAATTTTCTTCTGTGTGTTAGAAAAAGATGTTATTTTAATTGTTACATTTTATAAAAAAAATTGGTAATCACTATTTTTTCTTTTATTATTTTTTCTGTACGTCCTTCAGAAATATATGTTATTAAGATTTGAAAACTGGTTGCCACTTTTTATTTTATTTGTCTTTTGTTATATTTTTGTGTAAAAAATATATGTTATTTTGTTTATTACATTTATGGAAATACTCGCTGCAACTTTTTTATCTATTTTTTTTTTTTTAGCCCTATAGTATTTGTTTAATGGGTCAGATAGAATGAGAAAAACAACTCATTTAAAATTGTTAATATTATATTAGGTAATATGTATATATATATATACATTTTTTAAATTAATTTTCTTTTGGATAGCTCTACAGACTTCGTAGATCTCTTTGGCCGCCTGAACCACTCTTCTCCACCAATTGTGGTAATACTTTCCAGTTTGCGGCATGAAGCTCATCCGTATCTTTGTTATCCCCTCCCTCTATGGTCTCTTTCCTAATATATATAAATATACACATATAACTTTCTGTTTAATTATTACCAAAGCTAATGGTTATTTTATACGTATTTGAGTTTGTTCGAATTATATTTCCTTTGAGATTTGGTCTAGAAAAGAATTTTTGAGGATAACTGAGCAACTGAGTATGTAAATAACAAACAGAACAACTTAAAAAAAAAATAATTATAAAGTTATATCTAAGATATTAATATAAAAAATTCATCACTTTTAAGTAAGCTATCGACACGACAATAATTCCAAGAGCCTTGTCTTTAAAAATAATACTAAACCATATTTTAAAGGTATAATTTAATTTTAATTTTTTTTTTGTACTGTTTATCCTAAGGATGAGAATAAATAAAAAATAGAATAAATTAAAATAAATATATTTCATTTTTATTCCTGTAACATTTTTATTTCATCTTTTTTTTTTTCTTGTAATTTATTTATATATACGACTTAAATTGCATTAAACGGCGCGTACGGCTGGAGTCTAATGAGAAAATGAATAGAGGAGAAACCAAATGGCTTCTTCTAATTACTGTTCATGTGACGCAGGTTGGGTAGAGGTGTTCTTACCAAGCACACCAGCTTACCACAAGCTTGAAAAGCCAAATTAAGCTACGTGTATGAGGTTTTCTATAGAACTGGAGTATGAAAACCTGGATAAATACAATGTGGGTATGTGAACTTAGGATTGACAAAGTTAAAATTACTGACAGTAACTGATGTATACATTATATATATATATATATATATATATATATATATATATATACTACAATATATATATATATATATATATATATATATATACTAAAAATTTATTGAAAAGGTCAGTGAAAATACTCTATGATCCCTTGGGCACTTTGGATAATATGGAAAAAAAATTCATTGTATTTTTAATAAATAAAAAAAATATTCAGATATGGCTTTAGCGACAGAAAAACATTCCAATTAAATTAGTTGTTAAATAAATTATTACTTAAGAGTCATGGTAAAGTATTAAGTTTCACTATTTAAGTAAATTTAATAGACTATCTTTATGATATTACATTATATATAAGATTGTAAGATGTAGCTCAGTGGTAGGGGAGCTGACTTAAAATGCTCATAATTCTAATTTCGAATCCGACTGATAATTTTTTTTTTTTCTTCGTTCGAGGATAGAACCTGGGGTCGATAAACCCTGACAGTCGATATCATAGAAATAACGGAATTTTTTTCCGTGGCTTCCGAATATTTTAATTTTATTGAGTTTGTACATAATTAAAATGAGATTATGAACAAATCTGTTGAAGAGTTTTATTTATTTACTGTAACCATTGCGTGTATTTATATACATATTAGCTACGTTTAACAGAAATAGTTACTTTGACAAAATTGGTATATGGCAAAAAGTTTTCGATCAGCAGTATTAGGGTGTATAGAAATGTTTACACTGATCTACCTTAAGTCGGTTTACATTGCTTTAGTTTATCAAATAAATTGTACTCAAATCTTTTCTTTGATCAATTTCAGGAAAATAAATCTAATTCAATTTTTTTGTTTTTTTTTTGTTTCTTGATAGACATATGTAAAGGTATAAAAACCTTTCTGAAATATGTAGGAAAGTCGTGTGAGTGGACACTCCAGTTATATTTTTTTTTTTGACCAGTTGACCAGCAAATAAGGACTCTTTACCAACGATTTCATAATAATTTATATTGATATACTAAGATGGGTTCAGCTAACATTCCCATCAATATGATCCTCTGATGTGCCAATTTCATTATTTTTATCATATCTGCTATTGTCAATAGTTCGTCGCCAATATTTCCATATATATATAAATAAACATGTTCGACGGAATTCACTTATAAGGCGAATGTATTAGGAAAAAAGATAACGATCTAACGAATGAGAGATAGTAATTAGTTATAGCTATTTATATTTTCTGTAAATGGCATCACAGCCCTAATTGGACTCTAGCCTCACTATGAATTGAACTATTCCTTTCTTAGCCATCCCCCCACCCCCATCCGTCTCAGATCCTCTTCCACTTCAGCCAACTCACTCTCGGTCTCCCGCTCAATCTCTTTCCACCTGGCTTCCCATTCATCATCTTCTTTGGTAGCCTCTCTTCCGCCATCCTATGCACCTGTACTAGCCACAGCGGACTCCCTTCATCGACAATAGACAAGCTATTATGTTCCAGCTCGCTATTTCTTCTAATTCTTCAACATCCATGCTCATTGGGTCAAATTCCTTTTTCAAGGATGTTTTTATCTCTAATCTTGAGCATGACTGATAATAAGAAGAGATATAACATCGTAGAATCTTCTATCTTATCTTAGATTTAAACTAAGATTAGCAGGTTCTTAAACCCAGTTTTAGGCGAATTGTGGCATTGATTGGCGTAGAGAGAGCTCGACAATCCAGAGAGGATTACGGTTACAGTTTCAGATACAGATATTTACATGATAATCCTCTCATTAGAGGCTTGGTTTGTTGGAGGCAACAATGGCAGGCGTCTCGAGAGATAATTAAAGACGAAAGCCCCAACAAGATGTAACATTACCTCCTCTCGGTTAACACAACTCGAGCGTCTTTTAATCAGAGTTTCAACGGGAAAGAACATTAATTAATATTTTAGAGCTATTCTAAGGATAAGACAGTATAATGATGATAAACTGTAAGATTTATCCGTTTAAAAGGCTAAAATTCAACGAATAAATTTACGGTTCTGCAAAAAAGACACACTTACAAAAACTACATACATTTCAATCCAAAATTTTACGACTTATAACAGGAGCTCCTTGGTACATAAACAAAAAAACTTATATAACGACTTACGAAAACCAACTATCGACCAACACACACGCGATCTCTACTCCAGATTTCATCTTAAACTACACGGACATCACACCGGACTTATTAACGACATGGCCACAGCTGACATGCCTATCAGGAGACGACTAAAGTAGAGCTGGATGAGAGATCTCCTTTCTTGAATAAAGGAAATAAATCAAGAGCAGGAAGAAGTGCTGCTGGGTACTATTTTTTTCCTCATGCCTAAAATGTCAATTTTTCGTATTAGTTACAGCACATCTGCTTATTGTCAAGCTCATAACAGGTGTCGATGGAAATATGAAGACAATAAAAAACATAATAAATACTGTACATATTATCTATTTATCGCGATTCAGGGCAACGATGGACCACGCCTATATTATTTCAAGTTTTTTTTTTTTCTTTTTAATCCGTTCTCTTTTTACTTTTTCTGCCATCACCCTCTTTTTTTTTCCTCTGTCCATTCCTTACTTTCTTACATCTTCTTCTCCTACAAGAACCTTTATATTCTTCACCATTTCCCGACAGGTATAAATGTATATATATAATTTTTAACTACGAACTAACTATTGTTTAAGAAAAAAGAAAATGCCAAAAGAATTCAAAATTAACAACAACAGTATTAAATTATCGACTTACTTAACATATCTCGGTATTCACTTCGACAGACATTTAAAATTTACTAGAAATTAAGACAAAAACATTAACACAGTAAGATCTAAGACGTACAGAGTCCAAAATTTAATTAGGACAACAAACCTATCTTTACGCCTAAAGCTCCTCATTTATACAAGTATAGTACGGCCGGCTCTGTTGTTTGGTACACATCTGTGCATATCAGCAAAACAACTGGGAAAAGGTTACAATGTTTCCAAAATGGAATAATCCGAAAAAACAGTAAGAGGAAGAAGAATGGTGCAGAGAATGAACACATTGGATATACAAGCAGCGCTAAATTAAGCAACAGTAAAAGAATTTCTCACAAAACGAAAAAAATCATTTTTCGAAAAGTCTCAACAATTAGCAAACCCTCATTTAAACAAGTTATTACCACCCAAAATTCCAAAATGTTAAGCAACAACTCACATAAGATAGGAGTTTTATTAATTTAGTTGTAAGCTCTAGAGGATAAGGTCAACTCAACCCTGAGGAGAGCCCCATCACCGATTATATTACAGATGTGTGAAAAAAATAATCAAAATACACCTTACAATGCTTTTTAGCAGTAAAAGAACTATTATGAAGACGATGAAAATCCAAGGATACAAGACTAAAATAAATAAAAAAGGGGCTATGGAAAAAAAAACTATACTATTGACAACAGCAGATGTTTTAATAAAAATAATGAAAGTGACATATCAGAGACTCATATTGATGGGATTGTCAGCTGAAGCCATACTGGTATATCGATGTAAATTAGTATGAAATCGTTGGTAAAGAGTCCTTATTTGATGGTCAATTCGTCAAAAAAAAAAAAAAAAAAATGTGATGTGTCCACTCACATGACTTTTCTACTTATTTCAGAAAAGTTTTTATATCTTTACATATGTCCATCAAGAAACAAAAAAAAAAAAAAAAAAATTAAATTGGTTTTATTTTCCTGAAATCGATCAAAGAAAAGATTTGAATACAATTTATTTGATAAACTAAAGCAATAAAAACCGGCTTAAGGTAGATCATTGTAAAAATTTCAATACCCTGTAATGTTGCTGATCAAAATCTTTTTGCCACAGCTTACTTTTTTCAAACAATAATGTCTGTTAAAAGTAGAGGAAATAGTGAAGCTTGTTTGATGCGGGCAACAGATTTTCTTACTTTCACTTAGTTATCTTTTTTTTCTCATTCGCAGCTTTCTGACACCAGGATATGAACCGGTAATCTTACATTGGATATTGAATAGCTGTAACTTCTTTAATAGTTGTCCGAAATGAACGATTTTTATATATTTTTGTAGGGTATTTCATTACCTTTAAAAAAAAAACAGGATAAAAGGTGTTTTTTCTCTGAAACGTATAGATCCGTCAAAAACTGCATATCGGAAATTAATAAATTAAAACATGTGTAGAAAATAGAATACGCTGTATCATCGCTAATACTGGTTCGATCCGGATGATTTATTTATTTTATTGATAATTTAATTACCGTTCAAAAGTTTTATTGTAAATTTTACCACAGAATATATACTTAGCGAGATAAGCCCCAAAACATTTTTCTTTTCTTTATAACTGTTTTTCCTGAATTTTCTCGGAAATTTAGTCTATGTAAGAAAATTGAAAGCACAACTATTAGAATATTACAGGAAAGTTTCATCAGAATCGTTAAAGCCGTTTTTGCGCTACAGTCTACAGAAACAAGTGTTTTTCATCGCAGTCACGATCGCGTACGGAGCACCCAATTTGTGTCAACACGCCTCAGTTGTCAAAATCCTACAAAATAAAGAAAGAAGCAACAAAATTGCTAGTTCCTGAGAAAATCTTGGCACAGACAAAGCAATGGCTTAAAATGTGTTTTTCGGACTTAAGGAGCTCTGAAACTTATACTTCCATAAAAAAATATTCCATATTGGAAATTTTACCCGAACGCAATACTTTCCTTAACTAGTATAGGTTTTTTTTTGGGTTGTTTCAAAGCTTCCTCTAAACTATTAGTATAAACATATGGAAAAATTAGGTTGAGAAAACGTATGCAATAATTTCCAATATCGAACATAGCTTGATTGAAAAGCAATAAGTAGACTTTAATGTAATAGCCTAGTATAAAGGATTGACACATTCAGTTACAAAACTAATTCTGACGTTGTATAACTTTAGTCTACAATTTAATGGGACGAAACATATATATATATATATATATATATATATATATATATATATATATATATATATATTTTAAAGCAACGTTATTGATAAAAATGAAGTTCATATCAACTTAAGGTTTTGTTAGTCAGGTAATCATACTTTAGTTATGTGCCGTAACATTTTGTATTGAAATGTCTGACATTTTTTTTCGCTATATCGTACATCTGTGAAAAGTATGGCTTATATATAGCTTTAAGTAAGTGTATGTATGTATTTAATTTCTATGTCAGTTCTACTTTTTAAAAATTAAAACAAAAAGTGAGTAAAGTAATTTGAGCTGTCTATGGAGGTTTTTTCTATCATAAAAAATAAATAAGAAGTTTATTGAAGTTATGATAAAATATTTATATAGTAACAAAACTTCAGAATCTTGCAGAGACCCTTCCACGGCCGCCCGGGAAGACCGCAGACGACAAACAAGTTAATTATCGATCGACAGGCGTGATGATAATTAGCGTGAGTGACGACATGTTTGTCACTGGGCGGGTCTCGAATATCCAGGAAAGGGGGGGGGGACGCAACCCGATGCTTCCTGAATTATTGAACTTTTACCCGTGTCCTCGGGCCAATTACCTTCGATCAGGATCGGATGAAGCCAGGTAGCGTCTTGTCTTCGCCGACCTCCATCTAAACCGCGTTGAATCCTATCCGTATCTGATGCCGTATACATGAACCTTCGCCTTAATTAATTGTTCATGAAATCGATACATTAATTATAATGTGACGGGCCTAACCGCCAGTGAACTGGCATCTCTGCTGCCAGGCTAAATACATTTATCATTGGGGAACTTAATCATTCAGTTCCAATGTGGTTTTAAATCCACCAGGGATGAACCCAAAATATAGATACATAAAAAAAATTAATTATTTATGGTGGTAACGTTAGTTATTTTAAATAAAAGGTGTTATTATTATCAATTAAATAATTAATTAATAATGGAAAATCTCGCCTTCCTGGACTATTGGGCCTGACAATTCCTCAAAGGACAAGAAGGCTTAGAAGGAATTTACAGGGTGCCATAGTTCTTAATGGCCAAACTCACTGTGGTTCTAGACAAAACTTCCAACAAAATAATTCGTTTGATGCGTTGACCGTTTCAGAACTGAAAATGAGATAATACCAATTTTATGATTTTCTCAAGATCGTCTCGTTTTTTTATAGAATAAGAGGGAATTGCTCAAAAACTGTTCAAGATAATTAAATTTTAAATACATCATCGTGAAGTAGACAAAATATTTTTGAGAAAAGAGTCACAAATTTTCTTAAATATATTGGAGAAAACTATTCCATCGCTTCCGCCATCTTCTACCTCAACATACGCGTTGACTCCTAGTTTCCTCTCTCATTTTCCCCCACTTTGACTATAGCCGTGTGGTGTATGATGGCCTCTCTGTGGAGCTCCGCGATAGACTGAAAAAACTAATGAACAGCTGCGTAAGATTTGTGATCGGGGCCGCAAGATACTCCCAGAGTTAAAGTGGCTTCTC